TTTCCTTTTCCTTTTTTATTTTCTTGGCAGAGAAAAAGTGAAATAAAACAAAAGATGAATGAGCTTGGATGGCTCAGGTGGCCTGTGTGGAGGGAGAAGAAAGATTGGGTGATCCTTTCACCCCTCAGGGCCCATGAGGAGGAGCAATTCTGTGCAACACCACTGTCCAGACTTCCTATAAGAAGGGAAGATAAATGCTCTCAAAGATCCTACCTAGGCTAGAAACCATCTCCTGTTGAAAGGGAGGCTAGCAAGGAAGGCCGGAAGGCTTGGCAGTGACTGATGTGTTCCTGTCCTGCCCTGTGTGTGGTTTCTGTGGAGTTTCTGCACACCCCTGTGTGCCTTGGGGCTCACTTGCAGCTCCCGGTTGTACAATAGGTGCTTTTGGATACAGCTCTGTTCACCCCAAGAAATTCATCCCCGTCCTTTAAATTCCCTCAGCTTTTTGAATCCCTTGCCTACCTCCTGATTTTTATGATGTTGATCCTTGTCTGTGGAGAGGAATGTATTGATTTTTTAAAAACTCTTTTCTGTTGGGAAAAGTGGGCAAATGTGTTCTTGTTATGCCATTATTCATGTCATTTATTTCTTCCTGTACTGCTTTTCAAGTCGCTTTTGTCACCTGGTAGTCAGGAGGTACCTTGCATGACCAAGAATGAAAATGGTCTTGGCACTCCACGTCCCGTGCTTTGAATTCCTGGTGGTAGTGTGGTCACTGGGTACTCTGTGTCCACGAAACCTCTGGAGTTTGCTGGAGAGGAGGGAGGAACGCTCCTACGGTGAATTGGAGGATGCCCGTAGTAAATTTGCTTGTCTTGGGCGCTCTTTGCAGGCGAGATGCTGTGACTGTGTCCCACTGTTGTGTGATGGTGCTGTACTTAAGTTTTAGTCCAGCAGTGGTTTTCCGTGGTGAGATGAAGGGTGTTCGTGCCTGCCGTTCCCTTAGTGACAGTAAAGAGCACACATGGGAGAAGCTGTCATGAGAGGACCCTCAGCTCCCCCTCGCTGGCCAGATACTCGTATTATCTGCCCAAATGCAAAATATGCTTGTTTGGCTGAATATAACTTTTGTCCAAGTGTAAATTATCAGGGAAGTTTTCTGTTTCTGATGTCATGGTCGCAGGAAAGACTTTTTCCTTTTGGATTTAAGCATAGAATCATAGAATCATAGAGTAGAATCATAGAATGGTTAGGATTGGGAAGGGCCCTTAAAGATCATCTAGTTCCACCCCCCCTGCCATGGGCAGGGACACCTTCCACTAGACCAGGTTGCTCAAAGCCACATCCAGCCTGGCCTTGAAGACATCCAGGGAGGGGGCATCCACAGCTTCTCTGGGCAACCTGTTCCAGTGCCTCACCACCCTCTCTGTGAAGCATTTCTTCCTGACATCTAATCTAAACCTCCCTGATTTCAATTTATACCCATTACCCCTTGTCCTATCACTACAGGCCCTTGTAAAAAGTCCTCTCCCAGTACCCTTGTAGGCCCCCTTCAGATACTGGAAAGCTGCAGTGAGGTGTTTGGAGAGAGAATGAAGCAAAAACAACTTCAGTTTTTTTGGACAGAACACAGAAGTTGGGTATAAACCTTAGGTGAACGAAAGGATAAGATGTGATGTTACTGGGGACTTTTCTTATTTTTGGGGTGACTTGGGGTTGGATGTTTTGGGTTGGTGTGGGTTTTGTTGTTGTTGGTTTGGTTTTTTAGACCTAATTTTTTATTGTTCCCAGAAATCTATTTATAATATTCTTCAGTTTGCAGCTGCTTACTCTCCAATTCACTTGTATTTTCCAGCTAAGACCCACTGAGTTTCCTGGTGAAAAGGGGTGAAAAGTATGTTGCAGCTACTTTTGCCTGAGCACATGAAAAGCTTCCTGTGCAGAGCATTTATTTCCTGAAACAGTTTTTCTGCAGGGCAAGAGCAGTTGTATTTAGCTAAATTTAGATAAGAAGCTGTGGATGCCACATCGCTGGCTGTCTTCAAGGCCAGGCTGGACAAGGCTTTGAGCAACCTGGTCTGGTGGAAGGTGTCCCTGCCCATGGCAGGGGGGTTGGTACTAGGTGGTCTTTAGGTCCCTTCCAACCCAAACCGTTCTGTGATTCTATGAAATTGCTCACTAAAGACTTTACCTGATAATTTTACAATGTGTATACCTTGGCATGTTGTCTTAGGTTTATCAGTGGATGGATGAATGGATGGATGGAGACTTTGCCCTGGTTGCATCTTAAGTAGACATCTCCCTGGAGATGAGCTGTAAATGTCACCTTCCCGGTTAGTATTTGGCACGGGCTACCGGAGCAGAGGAAGGTCTCTCTCGGTTCGGTCTCTGGAAAAGAGGAAGCTGAAGTCATTCCTGAGTTCTGACAGCATTGCTTAGGCAACGTCGTCTTTGGCGTTTTCTGTTCCTGGTTCCAGCTCACAGCTGGGTCATGCGAAGTGCATTTGCAGCTCAGATGCCTGCAGGAGCCTGTGGTTTGATGTGCTGTGGCTGTGTCTGGAGGAGCTCAGACCTGACACTGGTGCCTTTCTGAACAAGCGGGGGTTTTCTGCAGGACTGAAATGCTGGTGTACACGCAAGTCCCTCGGGAGGGATCTCGTTTGGCTGCAGCAGGGTCTGGGCCCCAGGCAGGACAGCCCCATCCTGCCTGGGTGCTCACGCACGTCACTGGTCTCAGGGGAAGGGTGGTGATGGCAGAGTCACCTCTCAAGTGTGAGGCAAGAGGGAGCTGCAGGGTTGGGTTAATTCTGAGCAACCAGCCCAATGAGACAGAAAGTTTTAACAAAAAGACACTTTTCTCATAGGAGAGAGTTAAATTCTATCCGGATTGCTCAGCAACTAAACGTCAGCTACCCTGCAGTGATCTCCCCTCTTCCACAAGCCCACTCCGGCAGTAGCAACAGGCAGTAGGTGCTAATGTGGGGGCGGCTGTGGAAAGCTGGTGTCGATGTGAGAACTGTGATCAGTTACGATTAGCCCAAGCAAAATGTTGTGTGTTTTTTTCCAAAGGTGTGGGCTTTGCGTATGTACGTAGCTGACCTTACAGCATTTCATGGTGCAGATCCTGGCTCTAGAGTGCGTCTGCTGGGCCCCTCTCAAAGACCACAGGTGTAGGCAGACCCTCCTCTATGTGCCGCCCTCCGTGGGGCAGAGGTGGGTCAGTCTAAGGCTTTGGTACTCAGTCATGTCTAAAGCCCCTGTTTTGTACTGTTTGTCCTGCCAATCCTTTCTGCTTTTTTTAACACTTTAGGAAACTGGGCTTGAGGTATGGAAATGTCACTGGAAGCCTTGCTGGCTTTCTCCACCTCTTCATTGTCAGGTTTGCCTTGGGAAGAATGAAAATCCATTTGAACCTTTCAGCACTGTTGCAGCCAGAGCTGGCTGGCACTGTGGTAGTAATTTTTTATTTTTCCTCTTGGAAAATGTCAGTTCCTTTAGCTTGTCAGGCAGAGTGCATCGATTTTGATGGTAGATGTTTCTGAAGTGCAGAATGTGGTTCCTGGGGGAGGGGAGGCAGACGGGTACTTGCAGGTGGGCAGTAGTGTGATGGAGGCAGGTTTTGGATGAACAGGAGGATAGCCTATTCCCTGTGAATTCCCTAGTAATCCTGACAAAAAGGGTTTGTTGGGGGGTTGGGGCATTGGCGTGGAGGATAGCCTATTCCCTGTGAATACCCTAGTAATCCTGACAAGGGTTTGTTGGGGGGTTGGGGCATTGGCGTGTCTCCTCTTTCACTGTGCTGAAAAACTGTTCCTGACAGTCGTGGCTTTAGCCTGAGGCTACAAAAGCTGGTGAGACCTTGAAGATTTTGGGCTGTGATTAAACTTTTTCCATCCCAGTTCTGTCTGTACACTTCTTTCTTGTAAAATGCTTCAAACAGAGGTCTGTGGGCTGTCTGTTTGATAGTTTCAACAAGCTGACAGTGTACAAACCCTCTTAAAACCAGTGTGGAGCAAGTTCAGTGTGCCAGCTCCTAAAACTGCTGAATGGGAGATGAATCATTTCATACCTCTTGGAAAAAATGGATCTCTGCTTTCAGCTGCCGGCAGTTCCCGATCAGAGAACTGGTTGCTCACTGGCGTGCAGCGTAATTCCTGCTCAAGGCTGGAAGGCAAAGGGTGTTGTGCTGCCTGAAGGGTTTACAGTGATAGTTCAGGGCCTTCATGTTTCTGCCTGTGAAATGTTAATCAGCTAGATCATTAGAAGTACACTTTTGTGTATAGGTACATACGTGTATATATACACACACGGGTCTGTATGTGGTAATTATTTTGAGACAACAAAGTATATTTTGAGAAAAAATGCTTAACTGCTGCTGTGTGATCCATTGATTTGTTTTGTTTTGGGTTTTTTGGTAGCTTACTCTTCCCAATCAGAGTACGTAGGAGAAAATAGAAATAAATTGTTGGGGCAGTTGTTCCAAACTCAGTCTGGACTCACAGAAAATAATGCTACAGATAAGAAATTTCATGATGTTGTATAACTGAGAAGAATTTGCTTTCCAGGGTGTTGTGAGTATGAAACCTTTTAGCTGGACAAAGCAGAATGTCTGCTCCAGTGTATACATGACATTATGGGTAATTTTGAGTCCCATTACACATAGTTACTCAAAATATGTGAAAAACTAACTGAACAAGATCTTGCTGATAGTGATTTAAACAGGAAGTTTGGTCAGGCTACTTTTTGGAGACAAACACGTGATACGTATTTCTGGAGATCCTGAAATCTGTTAAACCAGCAGAAAAAAAAGTGCTTGTGACAGAGTTTTAAAATGTAATTAGTGGGGAGTTTCAGTTCCTTTTTTCTAACCTGCATATCATCAGCTGACAGTTTGGTTGCTTCTGCTTCTCTCAAACGACTGAGGCTACATAAACTGTTTAAAGTTAATTTTGTTTGAAGAGTAAATGCTCAGGTTTTCAAATACACAGATCACTGAAAATTGCTTCATAAAATTCCTACTGTATTCAGGTCTGTCTCTCTCTTTTTTTATTTTCATCCAGGCGCTACGGATTATGGTTTCGATTGCGGAAGTTAATAATCTGGTTGCTGGGAGTGTACATAGCCATTCCATTCCTAGTAAAACTCTGCCCTGCTATTCAGGCGAAGCTGGTCTTCCTAAACTTCGGTAAGTGACTCAGTCTGTTGGGATGGGTGACGGGTGGAGCAGTGTCTTTTATCTTTCCTCCGCCTGCCATCACTTTCACGCTGCGTGCGTACAGCTCGTGAAGGATGCGAACTCTCACAGGTCGTAAGTTCTCCAAACTGTGGTTTGGAAGGCATCCTCTGCGGCCCTGGTGGTCTTGTAGTATGTCTTTATATAGTGACCAAGCTATATAAAGTCACCAAACTGAAGCCAGGTTTCAACCAAAAGGGTCTCCTTCAGGAAAACTGTGCAATATGTCAAATGCATTTTTCCAAAGGGTTCAACCCAGTTTCACGAATAGACAGCAGGTGAAATTAAATCCAGTGAATTGTTTTCCAGGGAGTGACTCTTCACCTGACAGCATTTTAGGCAATATCCTGGTTGGGGCAGAGGAGGTTTGTCCGTGCAGTCAGATTGAATGTTTTCCTTGTGTCCGTTTAGCCTGTGCGTTTGGTCAGGTTGGTGGTACGGCGGGGGGGGGGGGGGGGGGACACCCAGGCAGGCCTGAACATCCACAGGATGGAAAATGGCAGAGCATCACTGTATGGGAGATACTTCTTTGGGATCTAAACTTGTCTTTAACCCTCACTTGTATTTTGTAGTAAAATTTTGAAAAATGTCTTCCTTTGATTGGAGAAGCTCTGGCTGGAATGACCAACTATGCATACGTTGCTTTTACATAACCTCTGTTTTGGTTGCTTGCCCTGCGTGTTCCGACACCTTGGATCGCTGTTGCTGTGACGTGTTGCACGTGCACGGGCCAGCTCCTGTGCCTTGAGTGTCAGAAGTGACAGCTGTGTAACAGGAATAATGCAGGTTACTTCCATTCTCATCACCTTCCTTTTTCAGTGAGGATTTTAATTTGCCCTTGTAGAGCTTTGTTAGGTCTCCCTGAAGTTCCTACCTCTCTTCGTTCCCAAGTGACTGGAATAATTGTCTTGTAACACTTCCCTGCACTAATATCGCTGCAGTGCCGCTCCTATGGCTTTATATAATGGCAGTCAGATTTTACTCATGACGGTACTCCCATGGCAAACTCGTTACCTTAATACAAAGTGCATTCTAACACACTTATCACAAGTACCTTGGCGTGTTTGGGTAATTCCTCTCCATTGGAGAGTGACATATCCCCTTCACACAGGAGTGTTTGCCCTGTCATAGTGCTCTTTAACCTTTGGAGTATAAATCAATGCGCTTCAGCCATCACTTTCTCCTTCTGTGTACTTTGGGATCTGCTTCCAAAGCACGGAGCTTGAGGAGGAAGTGCTTCCGTATGTTTCTCGAGATAACTAAAGGTGAATCGATAGCTGTGCTCCCCCTGTTAGCAGCCATGCTACTGGCTAGGTTTGTTCTTTTGTCCCAGGTTATGGGGTACGGGACATCTTAAGCTGTCTCCACTGGAAGTCTTCAGAAAACTGAGATTTCTAGAAACATGAATACAAACTAGATCGGGTTTAGTGTATCAGTATGATTAACAAATCATGTGACTTTTGTCATGCGATGTGTTGCGAGTGATACCAAATAGCTCTGAAACACAATACCAAAATAACCCTTGATGTGCTGAATCTCCCTGTGATGTATGCCTATAGGGTGAACTGTTTGTGTGTAGAATACGTGGACCATCCCAGCGATAAACACCATACATAAAAAGTGCCTGCCTTTCTGTATTTTCCTCTTGCTTTGAGCTAGGTGTTTGCCTGGCCCCTGTCACTACTGTTGATGTGTTCCTGTTTGTGTCTTCATTGTACAAAATCTGGCAGGAAAGTCGTAACAGAACAGTTTTGGCAGATGGGGAAATCGGGGCACAGAGAAGACGAGTGATTATCCCAGAACACCGCTGGAAGTGACTTGTGCGCCTGCCTAGACGTTACAGTTGTGGGGTGCACCCTTTGTCCCAGGGAGTGTGTCCCATCAGTAACTTCTTCCGTTACAGCTGCAATGCAAACAGTAAAAGGTTTGCCAGATCAGCTAACCCACCCTGCTGAGGCAGCAGGAGTGACTGTCTTGTCTCTGGGAGATCTACAAAGCAGGCTGGGCAGAGGTGGTTAAATGTGTGTCACAGGAAGCTTTGTCTCCCTCACCTCTTAATTTTAGTCTGCTCCCTGGTTCTGTTGGTGGTTGCTTGTGTTGTCTTACCTTGCTCTTTGAGGTTCATATTTTGGTCACAGCCAGTTCATCCTTTCACACAAAAAGAATAAGTCTTCCAGCGCAGTGGACCAGTTTGTATAACTCTCCAGCGCCTTGATAAAGCAGTTTTGAGAAAATAAAGGTAAAAATTAAAACATTTCATATTGTGATTTTTTTTTCCTTTTTTTTTTTTTTTTGTATTTCAGTGAGGGTCCCATATTTCATTGACTTGAAAAGACCACAGGATCAAGGTTTAAACCACACCTGTAATTACTACCTGCAGCCAGAGGAGGATGTAACCATTGGAGTCTGGTAAGGAAGCCTGTTCTGTGCAGTGTGTGCCATGCATCTTTATCCTTCTTTTTGTTCTCAGCGTTGCCTATTCAGTATTTTTGCTGTGCATGTGACAACCATTGCCTGTTCTGATTTGTGGATGCTTGTGTTTTCCTCTGCCAAGTGACCGAGTTCATGTCTGGAGCTCATCCGAACTCAGGTCGGTAATGCGTGAAACACGATTGGACAACCTCTGCACGCAGGGAAACTTCATAATTTGGAATCATAAAAGTTACAGGTCTGCGTGGCTACGAAGATCACTTGTCCTCATCAGATAAGACCCAAGGAGTTAGAAATTTTGTCATTCAACTGCTGTTCATGTTTTGTTTCACAAAATAAATGTGGGGGAAGATAGGAAAACAGGATCAAAGTGTTCAGAGTAGGAGGAAGAATATGCTGTGTATAAAACATATGTAAGGTTTAGGGAGTGGGTGAGAAAGGAACACACAGTTTACTCCTAACAAAACAAGTGACAGTGTCAGAGCTTGTTTGTCCTTCCTTCCTCACAGAGAAGCTCCCTGTTACCAAGGATCAGCTCAAACTAGCTACTGCATCTGTTTCGCATGATTACTTTCTAGTGTCTCTCAACACCAGAAGTTTCAAAGCCCCAGAGAAGTTCCGGCTAGCTCTGAAGAAAAAGAGGCGCCTGCAGTTTGAATACATATGCAGGAGCAGCAAACACTGGAAAAGAAGGCTGGACATCATGTCAGGTGTGGAGGGCAGGGGGCTGTTCCTTAATACAGCCAGTGATGTTAGGCCTGTAAACTGCAGGATTTGGAGTTTTCAGCTGTATGTGTAACTGGAGATTCTCCCGTCACTTGAGGGTATGTGACCTTTTGAATGGAACAGTGATATCTGGCTCCATGGAGATGGTTCCTTCCCTTCCAGTGAATTTTGGAGAAAGACACATTTAGAAGGCAGAAGTTCAGTCTTTCCAGGGTAGGCAGATAAAAAATGGTTTGCATCTTCACTTGGACAATTCAAGTTCCACATGCTGAGCTGTTGAATAAGTTTAGATCGCAGTCTGGAGACTTCTATTTTGTTTCCCTTGCAAGCGTATCTTTACTAAAACAGAACGTCCAGCTTGTGGTGGCAGCTCAGAGCCCGTGTCCTTTGTCTTGATACTTATCAGAGGGGTTTTCACAACAGTTGCTTTAAGGCAGGTGAAAGGTCCTGTGCTTGGTATGCTTCTGAAACAGCATCCTCAGCCTGCTTTTTTCGTAAGCTTGCCAAAGTCTCGAGACACACCAGTCGGACAAGTGGAGTCCTGCGGTTGTTGGGGCTCTCTTCCTCCTCAAGAACTCAGCGTCTGCTGGCTGCAGGCATGCAAGTGGACTTTCTGCATTGTTTCTCCCTGGGTTGGTTTGTCCACTGAGCTTTACATCCAGGATGAAGGTGTCATAGATGGAGTTTGGCTTTCTTACAAGGAGAAAGGCATGAGAGTACTTGAGTTACTTCTGACAGCTGTAAGCCAGCCCAGCCCCCTTCTCAGCAATTTGAGATGGTGTGGGCATGTATTTGCTTTCAGTGTTTCTCTCCTAGAGTAATTATCCAATTTAAATGCCTATCTTCTCATCGGTCTGTCATTCCTCTCTTTCCGTTCCACCGGTGTTGAATTCTCGCTAACAGGCTGCCCAGCTATATTATCTACAGAAGAACAGCTGTGAGTTAAAAATTCCTAGCTCTTCTGGACTGTAGCTTTTCCATCTAAAATGTTTTGCCTTCAAGACCCTGGTGTCCGAAAACAAAATATGCCGTCTTATCAGACCCTGAGCCTCTCTGTTTCCTCAGATTGACTGTGGAATCAGATGCCTCTTACTCACCCAACCTTCTTTCCAAAACCATCTGACTTTGATTATTCTGATTAGCTGCTGACCTCGTGGTGAATCTTGTTTATGGTGTATGTTAATTGCAGTAATTAGGTGCCTGCTGTGGTTTAATGCCAGCCAGCAATCTTAAGTACCGCGCAGCCGCTCGCTCACCTCACCCATTCTCCAGTGGAGGAGGAGAATTGGAGGAAAAGACAAGGAAACTGATGGGTTGAGATAAGAACAATTTAATAACTGAATATAAATGGATAAAATTGTGATACCAGTAATACTAACAACACCAGTAATACTGACATTACTACTAATAACATGTAATGAAAGTAATGCCAGCACTACTAATGATAACATATAATGAAAATAATGGAAAATAGAACAAATGATGCAATTGCTCACCACCCGCTGACTGATACACCGCTGGGCCCTGAGTAGTGAGAGCCAGGCTGAGCCCGAGAGAGAGATTGCAACAGAGCAAGCCCCACCCAGCAAGAGAGTGACCAAGGAAGCCCACCTGGTCCCTGTCCCACCCCCAACTTATATACTGAGCATGACATTTTATGGAATGAACTGTCCCTTTGTCAGTTTGGGTCAGCTGTCTTGAATCTCTCCCCTCCCAGCTTGCAGAGAAGAAGCAGGGAACTAAGGGGGCAGTATCAGAAACTGAAAAAGTCTTTGACTTGATAGAAACATTCCTTAGCAACAACTAAAACCACCAGTGTTGTCAATATTCTTCTCAACACAAATCCAAAACACAGCCTTCTACAAGGTGCTATGAAGAAAATTAACTCTATCCCAACTAAAACCAGCACAAGTTTGGATAATAAATAAAAACTGAGGAACTGAGTTTTTCTCCAGAACAGTGGGAAGTTCAGTAATCGTGCTTTGCGTTTGCCTGTGAAGTTTGATGCCCTGACTAGCCCTGAGTTTTGGAGGCAGTGATGATGGAAGTGAAAACGTAGAAATATCTGCCACTGCCTTTAAAATGTGGCTGTTTGTTGGCTAATCGTGAGAGCTCTATGAAGACTGTGTGCGAGGTGCATAATCTTGAGTTAACGAGTTGGTCAGAAAAACCTCAAAATTTGAGTGGCAGACACTGAGCAGCAACAGGATGATGTCATTTTTCCTTCTGCATACAGGCACACGGTCCCTGCAGCCTTATGGAAGAACGCCCGGGGGAAGGACCAGATATGGTTTGAAGATGCTTTGGGTTCCAGCCATCCTGTAATCCTTTACTTGCACGGCAACGCGGGGACAAGGTGAGGCATGAAACGGCGATGGCTTTGTTTTCTTGGCTTGCCACAGCTTCAACGTACTGATAAGAGGGATGGGGACAAACTTTTTGTCAGGTCCTCTTGTGACAGGACAAAGGGTAATGGTTTTAAAGTGAAAGAGGGCAGATTTAGGCTAGATATGAGGAAGAAATGTGTTACGATGAGAGTGGTGAAACACTGGAACGGGTTGCCCAGAGAAGCTGTGGATGCCCCATCCCTGGAAGTGTTCAAGGCCAGGCTGGATGAGGCTTTGAGCAACCTGGTCTAGTGGAAGGTGTCCCTGCTCATTGCAGGGGGTTGGAACTAGATGACCCTTAAAGGGCACTTCCACCCCAAACCATCCTATGATTAAAACCACAATAAAATCTAAAAGCAGTTTGGTGCTGCTTCTTTCTCTTAAAAGGAAAGTGTGTTTTAGGAAATGTATGCCTCTCCATTTATTGAAGGTGGGAATAGATTTATTGCAGTTATCAGAAATACCTGATAATGCGATTTACCTTGTGTCCTCTGCTAGAAGCCGGGAGGGAGGCTGTGACCCTTCCTAGAGCCGGAAGGGAGAAGTACTCCTCCTCAGTACAGTGCTCTCTGAATCAAGCCATGGGATAGTATTAGTGCTTCCGTATGTGTGATTTACATGCATTAAATAAACTTTCCAGTTCCTTTTATGAGCTTATTTTAGTAGTTAACACATTCTGAGGAAGAAGAATGAGAAGGGAAGAGGAAGGTCATGCGCTGGTCTCATTTCATTATTGTGTGTGTACAGGACACCTGTCTGCAACAGGAGCGTTTCTAAAATTTGTAGGTTTAGAGTTGCCCAAGTGTATGAGCTGAAGTAGGTTGGTTCTCTGTGCTTTGTTGCTGGATGCCAGAAGCCATTAGTGCAGTGTGAAAGTTCCTGGATGTTTCTCCAAGTGACATTCGTACTGCCACACCTCTGCGTGACACAGTGCTTTGGTTCGGCTGTCAGAACAAGGTCTTTATCCTTATTCATATGCACCTTACCAGGAGTGTCAGCCCCTTTCTGAGTTGTGAGTGCCAGTGCATGTTCTTTTGAAGCTGATGTCTGCTCACAGGTACTCTGGAAGAGCAGAGACGTTGTACAAGTTCCATGATGGAAAGCAAAGAACCTGTGTTTTAACTGTGCTGGTAGTGAAGGCTCGCTAGCCTTTACATCGCAGGAACATTGCCCTTTTTCACCTAAATTCTTGTCTTAGTGCTCTTTTTTGGTACAAGGCCATGGGGTGGAAGATGCATGTTGTGAGCCAGGAAATGCATGAGCAGGTGGATTTTTGGAAACCAGCCTTGTCGTCTTGCGCTGATGTATTACGAGGCTTAATCAAATTGTTGCCCTATTTTTCAAATACTGCTTCGCTGGGTTTCCTGCTGTTATTGGGTGTAGCAAGTGATACTAATGGAAGCTGTTCTGCAGCTTAATGGTGGTAATTTGGAACCAGTATCTCTGTTATGTGCATATTGATTAGATTTGCTTCTTGGCTCCCCCAAGTATTACTGAGATAAAGTACTGAGCTATGGATCGATTACATATTCCACATTCTGCTTTACTCTGCATACTGGGAAAGCTGGAGGCACATTGGCTTTTCATTTCAGCTTCAATATATATTGCTGTATGTGTCTATGCTGCATATTCAGTCTCTTGTCAAAGGGTTGCATTAAGCATAAGTAAGAAGGCACTGCCTTGGCTTTCTGGTTTGCCTGAGTGGTCTGGAGCTGAGGCCCAAGTGTTATGTTTACTTGATCTCCTTAGAAAAAAATCTTCTGCTGCACCCCTTAAGGAAAAGGCACCGACATGTGCACATCAAGGGTGACTTTTCACACAAGTGTGTCTTTTTCAGACTTCTGTGATTCTAAATATCTTGCAAGCAACCCCTTGTGTTTTGCCCTGAGTGGTTTTGGCTGCATTAAGTGTTTTGTAATAGAGTTGTAGCTGGCAGCTTTTGGCTGGCCGAGTGCATGTGTTCTTAGGGGGAGAGGTCTGGAAAGTGGCAATTTTGGTTTTGAGGCTACACTGACCAAACCAACTGACCAACATAGAGTGAATGTTTTAGTGTTGTCATATGAGTGCAGGAGTAAATCTACTCTTGCATTCACAACTAATGTTTGAGTGTGGACTAGCCGTGTCGTGTTGTGGATAGATTTTAAAGCGTGTAATGGCATGTTTGGGATGTATTACAGGCTTTGAAAAGGCAGTTAGGAGGGTGGGTTGAAAAGTTCGCCTTCACCTGCTGTGAGAAGGGATTTATAGGGAGAAGTTGACTTTGAAACTGTCCTGCATAGCTCAGCAAAGCCTCGCTGTCTCCTTGAAGCCTGTGGCAAAGCAGTTACGGTGTTCCTGTTTGACATGTTTGGGTTAAACTGGAAGCCTGAGGCAATAGGGGAAGTCTGTTTGTGGAAGCTGAAATGTTCACATGTGGGGGTCTTTTTTTTTTTTTTTTTCCTCTCCTCTTTGTGAATCGCTTTTGCCAGAGGAGGGGATCATCGCGTGGAGCTTTACAAGGTAAGTGACCGCGCGTGTTGTCCAAGCATTAACACAGCGGATTTGCATGGATGTGAGAAGGCTGCTCGTTACAGCCAACGGGCAGGTAGCGCAGGCCTCTTCATCTCCTTCAGATATGAAAGGCGTATGGGAAAAGGGGTAAGCAGTGAGCACCCTTCCCTGTGTTAAAAGACATTTAAAAGGTCTTTTACTTTCTGTTAACTGTCAGCTCCAACTGAGTTAACACAGTTCTTTGCCAGGAATACTTTCACAACACAGTTTATAGGAAAAAAAAATTACAAATCTTATTTGATCACTGCTGTGATTTGATTAGTATACTAATGTAAGGTACCATTTAAGAGTATTCTTTCATATGTTACCAGTCTCTACATGCTCGCCATCACAGAGCAGAATATTTTCAGTTGGAAGGGACCTAAAAAAGATCACCTAGTCCAACTGCCTGACCACTTCAGGGCTGATCAAAAGTTAGTGTGTTACGGGCATTGTCCAAATGCCTCTTAAACACAGGCAGGCTTGGGACACTGACGACCTCCCCAGGAAGCCTGTTCCAGTGTCTGACCACTTTCTTGGTAAAGAAATGCTTCCTAATGACCAAACTGCTATTGAGCTTGCTGTCGACTAATACCACCAGATCCCATTCTGCAGGGCTGCTCTCCAGTCACTCCTCTCCCAGTTTATACTTGTGTCTGGTGCTATTCCCGGCTATTTGGACTTGTTAAATTTCATCCCATTAATCATTGCCTAGTGCTCCAATTTATCTGAGGCATCTTGTCCTTAAAGAGAGTCAGCAGCACCTCCTAGTTTGGTATCACCAGCAAACTGGCTAGTGGTATGTTCGTGTCCTGCATCCAGATCGCTGATCAATATATTGAACAGAACTGGCCCGAGAACTGAGCTCTGAGGAGCAAGGCTGGTGACCAGTTGCCAGCCAGAGGCAGCCCCATTCACTGCAACCCTTTGAGCTCTGTCCTTCACCCAGTTCTTCACAGTGTACCTGCTCCTCCCACAGTTGGACAGCTTGTCCAGAAGGACGCTGTGAGGGACAGTATCAGAGGCTGTAATAAAATACAGAAACATCACATCCACTGCCTTCCCTTTATCCACTACACAGGTGACCTTATCGCAGAAGGATACCACATCAGTTAGAAGGACTGGTGAACATTCAGCCGATACAGCTGGTCCCTTACCATTTCAGTGTCCATAAATGGAAAGTTACCATTCCCACACTTGTGGCCATCTTTATTACTGAAGATGGAGGCAGAAAAAAAAAGGCATTTAATGCCTCTGCTGCTGCTTTATCCCTGTTAGTCAGATGGCCATCTTCAACAACTATCAGTCCAATGTTTTTTTTAGACCTCCTCTTGCTATTAACGTGCTTAAAGCCCTTGTTATCTGATGCAATGCTGGCCAGTTTCAGTTCTAATTGAGCTTTGACCTTTCTTGTCTTCTCCCTGCATATACAAACCACAACACCTGACCTTCCTTCCAGAGATCATGCTATTTCTTTTTCCTCTGGAGCTCCATGGGGTGTTCCCAGTTCAGCCATGGTGGTCTTCTGCCTCACTTGCACAACTTATGACACAGTGGGATTGCCTTACCCTGTGCTTCTTAGAAGGGTGTTCTTAAACACTGACCAGAACTCACGGACTCCTGATCCCTCAAAAGTGGATTCCCAGGCTGCTCCTCTAAGTATCTCCCTGGGTGGTCTAGTGTTTGCTCTCCTGGAGTCCAGGGTAGCAAGTCTGCTGTCCAATTTTCCCATTACAATGAAAATTTTAAACTCAATCATTTCATGATCACTGTAGCCAAGACAGCCACCTGTTGTCACACCTTACATCCTGGCTGGGGTGTCAGTAGTAGACACCTACTACGTCTCCTTTGTTTTCCATCCACCTAATCCTCATCCAGAGGCTCTCAACCACATGTCACTAACTGTTAAGGGCTGTGTGATCAAACCTTCCCCTTACCTGTAGTGCAAGGCCTCCACCTCTCCTGCCCTGCTAGCCCTCCTGCACAGCCTGCAGCCCTCCATCCAGCACACCTGTCATGGGAATCATGCTGCTGAGTCTCACTAATACCAGTGATATCGTAGCTCTGGGAACTGACCAGCGCTTCCCGTTCACCCTGTTTGTTTCTCGTACGGTGCGCGTTGGTGTACAAGCATTTCGGGTATGCGCCTGAGCCCTCTGTCTTCCTGGGAGCAGTGTGCTTCCATTAGCATTGCCATCCCCGGGCGATGCCATGCCAACCTTTGGCTCACCTGCTGCAACCCTGTTGGTATCCTCGTCCCCCACTAATTCTAGTGTAAAGTGCACTCAGCCAGTCCAGCCAACTTACACCCGAAGATGTGTTTCCCCATCAGGACAGGTGGATCGCACCAGGCCCCAGCATCCCATGTGTGTTGAAGGCTCTTCCAGGGTTTAAAAACACAAAGCTTTGGCAGAGGCACCAGTCCTGCAGCCTGGTATTGACATACTGTTTCTTCCGAAGTCTCCCCCCATTACTGGGAGGATGGAGGAAAAGACTACCTCTGCTCCTGAATTTTTTAGCATTCTGAAATCTCTTTTGATCGACCTCAGACTTTTTGTTACGATGTCATTAATGAAA